ATGTCTGTTCTCGGAGTTCCCGCCGGAGAAAATTTGAGAAATTGATTTAAAATAATTAAGAATGCCATAGTCGGAAAACACTTCTCAAAATTAATAGTACATGATGCGGTCTAAAAAATTGCCTATGGTCGATTTATTAAGGACAAATTGTCATCATAACAAATAAACCTTCTTGGCATATAAAAGCTTCTCTTTCATAAGAAACTTTATGGTGGACAGACGGACAGACAAGCTTAGGTCGATTCAGGAAATGATTCTGAATATTTAAAAATGGATCTATCTCAAGTCTCTTTGAGGGTGCAAACTGTCCCCATAATTTAATATACCATGTGCTACATGCCATATGCATGATAACTCTATTATAGTTAGAGATTAGAACTTCGAACTTAAAATTTAAGTTAATTATTAAATTAGGCCATTATACGCATGAGCAGCCGAGTAGTTAAGAATTGTGACTACCAAACCAGTGTTCGCAGTGTGGTAGAGCTTACTTTGGTAGTAGATGTAGTGCTCGGCCGGCGAAGGCATAAAACTTAGCGATTGGGCACACATCCACTAGATTGCGGTCAGCACCTCTCTATTTCATTCTTTCTTTGTCACTGTCACTACGTTACGCGAAGAGGGGACATTCTTTAATCGATTGCCCAAATCAAAAAAAGAAAAAAAATGTGCTCATAATCCATATATTTAGTAATTATCGTGCATTTAATCACTTGGGATGGTCCACGGTGCTATAGTCTGAAAGCGCACTGAAGGACGAGAAACTACTTGCAACACCAAAAAGGAAAGATTCCAAGCGGTGTATATATTCTTGATCGGCATCAAATGCCGAATTAATTTAAACGTGACCGTCCGGCCGTCTCTACAATATCTTTGACAAACATTCTCTTGACCGCAAAAATCGCAGACCGAATCGGCCGAAGCCCGCGCCTACAGTACGTTGTAAATTGAAAGCACCTCGGTTTTCCAAAGGGAAAAATCATTGTTTGCTTATTACTCGCAAGCTGCAGCAGATAAGCTTATAAAAATATGTGCGTACATTACATAGACTATACTATATTACCTGCACAAAAACGGATGAAATTGACTCAACATTACAGTGTGTAGTTATTATATAATTTCATTTCTTTGTCAGAACATTTATAATGCGCAGAAGCAGAAATCCCTACAACGTATATATATATATATATCTTTGACCGGCGTCAAATTTGGAATGCAGTCAAGCATGTCCGTCCATCCGTCCGACTGTCTGTCTATCTCTAGTACTTTTTAGGATGACAATGATAGGTTTACAAGATTCAGTTACAACCGAATATAATTTTCTTAGTTGTTTTGTGTACTTATGACACGTATACGCCAATAAGAGTATGCCGGCATTTACGAATTATTACAATATCCATATACGTAATAAATTAAGGGTAACAAGAGAGTTAAAACGGTGCTTCCAATTTCTTCCTTATTGCGGACTCGCACACAGGCATGCACAACTATTTTTTAATCATGGATTCTAAATGGATCCGGGAATGTCTTCACCAAATGTCAGCTTTTCACCTTCATTTTTTCGACTGCGCCAGTTCGAGAAATAAAGAGAATCATAATGATCTCTTTCTGAAAAAATAGATATATGTCGTCAAATATATTTAGAGGCCATTGTTTAAAAGTCACCATAAAATTAATTAGCCGCGCAACATACCTGGCTGTGGCCGAATTTTGTATATTCATCGAGTATTACTTGGTTGGTCAGACGGACAGATAGACAAGCGAACAGATGGACATGCTTAAATCGATTCGAAATTGAAAGTTGGACCAAAAATATATGCACTTTATGGGATCTCTGATACTTCCTTATGGGTGTTGCCAAGGTTTTGACAGAATGAATATACATGTCGTCCTTTGGCGATGCGTATAAATATTTTTTTTTTAATTTTTAATTACCTTTATCTGATCTCCCAAAAAATAATCTTGGCACGTAGAATGGTTTTTGATTTTTATGCCCACTAACCACAGATTACTTATAGTCTGCAAGTTTTCATAGTATAATTAAAATATATTTAATAAAAAGATACGCGTTCCTAGATACATGCATCTTTTGTTAAATATTTTTTAAAGACTTTTATAGAATATTTAATTTTGATTTCAATTTAAATAAAAAATTAATAAATAATAAATGAATTGGGCAGGCAGCAGTAGCTTAATAAAAACATCACACTCTTAACACGTTAATTGTAAGACTATATTCGGAAATGTATTTCTAGGGCTTCATACCTTCAATAATAAGTTCTGCTGTCTCTTCTGTAAATCTCTACAAACTATTTTTTCATTCTCTTCGATTGACGCGTTTCTGAACAAAGCGATTGAATTACTTATTCAATATCATTATGCGTACACTACTTGCGTGCTTGAGCCAAAAGTGCATACGAAAGTAAAGTTTTCAACATGAATTGTTACATACTTACGGAAACGAAAAACTCTTTATACCCATCACCGAAGGATGACCGATATATTCATTTTGTGAAAATGTTTACAATGCCCAGAAGGAGGCATCAGCGATCCCAAAAAATAAATATACATTCTTAATCAATATCAAATTCTGAATCAATTTAAGCATCTTCGTCTGTCCGTCTATGTGTATGTCCTCCTGTATAATGTCCGCGGTAAACACTCTCCTGGCCGCAAAAATGAATGAATCGACTTGAAATTTGGCGGAAACATTAGAAGCCCCTGCGCCCAAGTTGATATTGAAAATTTGCAAACTCGATTGAAGGGCACGCCCACGATACCGCGAAAACTGAAAACACCTCTGTTTTGCAAAAAAAAATTAAAAATTACTTATTAGCTAATTACTCATAAACTAGAGCAGATTAATGTAAAAGCATTTGAAGGTATATTCTATGTGCGACGCTGTAGCCGCTGTGCAAAAATGGACAAAATTGACTCAGTCAGTTCAAAGTTTTCATGCCAATTTGAAATGCGGATATACTACTACATAGCCATTTTTACCGGGAAATTCTTCCCCATACAATACTCTGTTCTGAAAAGTCGTTATATGGGGAAAAACGTGAACCGATCTAAACTATTATCAATGGTGTTCGTCGTTAGACGAAGGAGCGTCAGTGTATTAAAATCAAAATATCTCAAAGTTTACAACACAAAAATACATGGACAGACATCAGACGTAGAGACAGACAAGTTTAGATCGATTTCGAAAATGATTCTGAATCGATGGGTATAATAAAAAGTGGGTCTATCTTAAGTTGTCCCTATTTTCTAGGCCAAAGGCTAGAAAAGTTTCAAACAATTTCCAATAGACCAAGCCAAAGCGTTGGTTTGACGCGATGGACAATCAAAGATTCGTCACAAGACGAATACACTTTTCTTACTTATTACGACTATTGCGCGTGCGTTGCTTCTTTGAGCCGTTAACTAATAACTTGTACGAAATATCGACAATCCCCCAGCGTAAATTTTTCCCGACCGTGCCATTTCCAATGCGATAAGAGATATGACTATATTGATCCATAACCGTGTGTCGATCGAGAATTTATACACTTTGAATTTTTTGATGAATATTTCCGTTTGTCATACGGCCAGAATAAAAACTCTAGTGTATTTTTTGTTGTTGATGGACGGGCACGATAAGTTAACCTCGGTTTTCGTACCCAGCACATTCTTCGTATATTCTTGCATTTATTATATTAATTGTGGTTGATTGCATTGTAAACGTATAACATTGTCATCTAACTGTTGACGTAATTTGACCTCCAGTTTGTAGTTAAGATATTCACGGCTTGTTACCGATTCATTCTTGCTACGCGTTATGCTCGCTGAATAAACTTAATAACCCAATGGTTAGCTACAGGTGCAGGGTATATTAAATTAGTGCGGTCGTCAGTAACACGCATAAGGGCTTAAGATAGACCGATCAATTCAGATAATGATTCTAAGCCTGTTTGTCTTCATGTAAAATTGTGTTCAAGCTATAGGTCGCAATTTTTGATATATTTTCATGAAATAATTTACAGTGACTTGTTTTGACCCAAGCACGAACGCTATTGAAGATGGTTTGGATTGGTCCCCTTTTTCCACTACTCCCCTTACAAAGCCCCATTGTGAAAAATTATTATAAGGAAAACAATTGGAATAGTAGTATTTCGGCATTCGAAATTGGTATGAAAACTTTTGCCCAACTAGTGCCAATTTTTGGATCTCCTCTCATATGGAAACTGAACTTCATTCGACAATAACGTATAATTTTCAATGGTTCGTGATGGAAATTATATCATAATAGTAATTTAGCATAAAAAAATTGATTGTAACAAATTTGGACCATCTCGGCCTATATTTTGGATTCTATTCTAATAAGGATTTCATGAAAATTTATCCTTTGAAGAGCAGAAAAGTCTAAATTTTAATACGTGGTGATAAAAATTGATCCATAATAGAAATTTAAAATAAAATACCTGACTGACTATCTACGCCTATTTCTGGATCCTGCCCAATGCAAAGAAAGAATTTCATGAAAATTGTTGCCATCAACTGTATTATTAACAAAGCGAGTAAATAACTATACTAGACGAAGTGGTGTAGGGTATGTAATGGCCGGCTTTGGCTGACTACAATGTTCTTGTTTCTTTCGATAGAAAAAAATATCTATTTAAAGTTTTCCAATGGCTTTAGGAAAATGATATTTTAAATCAATAAAGTTGAATCCTCTTTCCCACTTACTACTCCAATCTCGTTTCTTATTCAGGCAGCCGTTAACGTAAACCTTTGATGCCTTACGATCATTGTACAAAAAGTTTCCCTTTCGGTACTTCTATGTATTTACGACCATTTTCTCATTTATTCCTTAGAAAAATGAATATCAAACCTTTTTATTTTATTTTGATTCCAATAATAGTTTTAGTATTGTTTTTTATTTAAATGCAGTAGAAAAATTTTGTTAATTCCATCTAAATGCATCATAAAAAAGAAAAAAAAATTCTTAAAAAGTTCGCGGATAAATATTTAGAAAAATTAAAAACATTTGAGAAAATACATAACACAAAAAATTAACTCATTTGTCCCTAAAGAGTGTTGTAAGGGTTAATAAAGTTAATAAAGGTACATAAGCTAATGTCACGATTTTGTACCTTAAAAACGTAAATTTAAATTTTCAATTGAGATTTTTTCCCTTTCAAGTATATCACAAACTTATTATTGATATTGTAGGACTTCTGCATAAACATCTTACTTGGACATTCTAAAGGCATGTCGATAAATTGTCCGAATAAAATTGCGATGGTTGGCCATTTTTGGATGTAAATACTATGACAATCTTCGGAGGAGATATTTCTGTTAACAAATTAATGAATTCCATTGGCAACGCCATTGGCGTAACCGTTACTTTGTGCCTTGCTGTGGCCGTTTTTTAGAAGTTTTCCATTGCTTGCTATGTCTGTCGAGTAAATATTTGATTTAAGTTTCTTGACGGTCGGTTGATTAGTTATCAAGGAGAAATCGAACTGTAAATAAAACAAAAGCCAAATAAATAATAGTAGAACTTATTGGTAGATGCTTTCAACTTATTACTCTTTGCTCCAATGTCATATGCGATGTGGGTGGCAGACCAATGCAAGCGCGCAATATATTTTCAATGGCCGACCGTTGGCGGAACAAAGAGTTCACGACTTGAGCACCTTGTGGCACCAAGGGCGCCTTGCACATATAGCTAAGCAATGAGAGAACAGGTTTGAACGGTATCCACGTGGATGCGTGATCGTTATTGTTTTTGACTTGTATACGTGAGCAGAGTTCACCTAAAATCACTAAATCCAAAATCAACGGTGACGCCAACAAAGAGTCTTCACAAGTATTATGTATAACCAATGTGTTATGACCGCCCATCATAATTTCAGAAGTATATTCATCCATGGCACGCTTGCTATCTCCGACATAGGGAACATATTTGATGACCACCACGTGATCGGGATGTTCATTAGCTTCGTATAAAATTTTATTGGATTCTACCATGTCGTCTACTACATTACTTTTCGAAATCTGAAAAAAATGTATGTATATATATATATCAATTAATCGAACGTTTTCGATTTATCAAAGCAAGATTACCTCCTTTGAACGGAATTGCTGAGGAGCAGAAAGATTTTTACCATCATTGTTTCCCAAATGATTGTAACTGACAATAGATGCTGGTTTTATGCCTGCGCCAACTAGAAAGTCAACCAAAACAGATTTAAGTTTAGTTTGGCCGGATTTGAAATCATCGCCCGCTATAAAGACACCTTTGTGTTCAGCTAGTTCTATGAGACCGGGAACAAAGGTATTCTGTGGTGATCCATTAATATATGTGCACTAAATAGTTAAGGAAAAATATTACTTTTATTGTATATATTTTCAATATATATTGCATAGATGAAGAGAACTTACGCCTTCATTTATGCTGGCAATGGCAAAAACAGTGGATGGTGATATTTCGGCTTTGTTAGCTTTCAAAGATGCTTCCAATTCTTGCATGGTCGTATTTAAGCCGGGCTTAACATCGCAAAACCTTTCCGTGTTGGCAGTCCACAATACAACGATAGTGTCCAAATTGTTTTGCTGCTTGAAATCGCGTATGTCTTGACATATTTTCTCAAACTGTTCATACTTCGTACCATTGATAATATTATCCACTCTTTCCGACTGATTGGCTGCGATAAAGTCTGGATCGTAAATAGACGGCCGCGGCTTTAAAGTATTCAATTGATTATAGAGTTGATCTTGCAATTCTATATCCAAAACTTGGGCTCGACGCATAGCATCACCAATATTCATTGAGCTAATATCCCAACCGTCTATAACAATATCATCTGGATTAACCATGGGTAGTAAATCTTTCATAGGTACGTAAACATCTTTGCCCTCTTCATCGGAACCCAACAATACGGTCGAAGCTTGCGTAATTGAACCAAACCAGTTGGCCTTCTGCGTACCAGAGCGCTTACGCCATTGTAACTGTCGACGATTGGCCTCTAAGGCGGCAGTTAAAGTCGAACCGTTGTTGCCGCCCCAACCTACTAACATTAGGCCCAATTTAGGTACACGGCGACCCGTACGTATCTTTAAATTTACACATTCAGGAAGTACCTAAAGGCAAAAAATTGCATTATTTCAAAAACGAACAGGTTTAAAAACATTTATTCGTTGTAAGAAAGCCAAGATATCTATTGTCACCTACCAATTGATATCACTTTACCTATAAAATTATCAAAGAATTTTTTTTTTTAAACTGCACTGCTTTTCTAGAGTCGAAAGTTTATACGTTTATGTGTAGTAATAGCGACTAAGCAAACTGCGGTCGTCTTAAAACGAATCTTAGTTACCCGTCATTAAAATTCGAATTTGCTTCTTAACGATAAATCTCGGTTGGACTCTTTGCTAAGCTCTGACCAGTGAGGCAGACTATTATCACAGGGAACATTATGCTATGTTTAATGGCAATGGGGTAACATTCTATGCTCACTACCGAACAACTTTGTTACACCAATTAATGACCGTTATCTCCTATATACTTAAAGTCCTTAATCAAAATCCCTGCAATGTTTAATCCGGCACCCTCCCCTTATAAGAGAAGACTCCTCTAACTATATGGATGTAAAGAGTTTTACTCTGCCATGCAATTGCAATTGTTTTCATTCTGAGTAAAAAAAGCAAAGATTTTGTCACCTCTCTGTTCTACACCTTCCTCCAGCAGTCAATGTGTTGAGAATTGTTCCTTCGTTTATAAGGAATTTTCAGAGTCGATTAGAAATTATCGAAAAGAGACCGAACGAGCCAACATTTATTTCATAATCGAAATATAAAATTGAATAAGATTGACGGGTCAAATAATATTTGAATACAGGGACCTGCCTTAATAAAACAGGAAAGTTACCAAGAAGGAATCGAAAAAAAAAAGAAAAGTAAAACAAATTAAAAATTCAAAGTGTACGTATGTCTGCTTGTCCCAAATGTGTTGACGAAATTTATATACTTTCGAAACGAACGAACAGAATGGAACAGATAAACAAACGTCTCAATCACATACGAATAACTAAGCAACAAGTTTACGTGTAGCTGTGTGCTTGCATATATGATTGGCCTATAAAATATAACCTTGAACCTGAACTTGTATTGCTTTGGCCAACGAAAAGGTCATATGCAAGTGCAGATAAGAGAGCAGCATAAGATATTGCATAACGGTAATTATGGCACAGTATCATTAATAAAGGGGAGCGCATGATGTTTTCTAAAGTATACTATACATATTAGATATATATATATATATGCCTGATTAGGTAAGAAACAGTGTAATCGGGGTTAGTCATGTGAAATGAAAAGAGAGAATGCAGAGCAATGAACTTTGTCTCAAATACGTTTAATATCTGAACTCTCTTAATATTCATGCGGATTCAAATCTTCCACTATATAATTAATAAAAGCGATAAGCGATTAAGCTGCCGTATGTCATATTGAATATGTTGCCTTTGATTGAGGCTAAGAGCGTTAAGAGTAGCATTGCATAGTCTATTTACTTTCTTAACATGTTACCCTTACAGTTACAGTATGTGGGTATATGCTTTCTATAGCTTTCAAATTAATTCATTAAAAAAAACAAGTAAGTGTCGGATACTCGAAGATTCGTTCTTAGCCAAACTTAATGCCCCATCGCAATGTAAGTTTGCCGGGAAAATGCAGTGCGCTTGCTTGAGCTTGCTTGCTCTTCCAATCAATTTCTTGTTTACTGAAAAATGAGAAATAGCTTCATTGGAAATTCACTGGTTTCGTTCCAATTTAAACGATTCTAGCATTTTCTACATTTTTCGTATATATAATCGGTATAATACTTTTATAAAGAAAAAAAACAAACAATATAAGGTTTTTTCAAAACTTCTTTTCTCTTCTCTACCTACATATGAACACGAAATTTGATATAATGAATATTTGAAAGAAAATTTATGCCCGGAAATTAATTCTTTTAAAAAAATTAAAAGAAAATAATATTTAAAACATAATACAAAGGGCTGGCTGGGCTTGTTGATAGCATTTGTTTTTTTTTTTTTTTTTTGCCTACCTACTTAGCGAAATTGTTGGTTGGTGTGTTTGCTTTTAAAATATTCTTTTCACTTGCACGCCTTTTTTTTTTTTTGATTTTGAAATTTTGAGTTTTTCCCATAAGCTTTTCAACAATTTATCTATATATTAAATACCTTTAATTCAATTTGAATGAAAGAAGAAAAATTCTATAAGGCAAGGCTTGAGAGATGCAAGAACATCTTCTCGGATGGCTGGCTATAAGCACATGTTATTAAATAATTTTGAAAATTTTTTTTATTTACTTGCAACATATCGAGCGGTCTAAGTGAATTTAATCCTTTTCACAATTCCTTGAAAAGTAAGCTTATTAGCCTAAAAAGCCTTTACAAAATTTTTGAAGTAGAACAGTCTACAGCAAGAATTATGCTTTTATTTAAAATAATTGAAAAGAATTTTTCGGAATTATTCTTTGAAAATACCTTAGAGCCAATTATTTGAAACCGAACTTTTTCATAAATATTTTTTAACAAATAACAGGAAAGTAAAAATTCTTTTTTTTCTGTTTTCACTTAAAGTAATTAAAATTGTTATTTATAGAACTTACCTGCATTTGATCGTTACCGATACGTCTGACATGCGATGTCTGATAATCGTAATCGGTTTCAATATAATCATCAGTAATTTGCACATTTGGTGAAACAACTTCCAAGATTGGCTTCATTTTGTTTTAAAAGATTGTTATTTATGTTCCTTTTGTTTAGCTTATGAGTAAGCGAAATATGTTATGAATTCTCAAAAAGAAATATTCACAATTAGCATTAAGTAATTAATAAAATTATTGCAGTCTTTTCTTTTGTTGCTAACGTGTAGGTGGTTTTAGGGCCCTTTGGTAAATGGTTGGCAAATAAGTTTTTTTTCTTTTTTTTTTTTTGCAATATTCTTAAACGTTTTATTTTAGAATTATTTTTTTTTTCTCAAAATATTTTTTTTAAAAAGAATTTTTTCATTTATCTGAGACGCGTACTGTAATAATATTTTTCAACTAATAAAGCATTTGGAAGGTATACACCACTATTTATGTGATATTTTACAAAAGAAACCGTTGATATATAGCAACTATACTCGTACAATGAACGGCACTAGCACAGAATACTTCCAAAGAACGGTTTTTAATATATCCCCTACATTATGTATTAGATTTGTTAAGTCAACACCGCGGAATAGAGAAGTATACGTAATATTTTCATCGCATATATAATATTAATCGGGATGAATAGAGAAATTGTCCGCCCATTTAATGCATCCGGCTTCCTTTCATTTACTCATTGATGAGGTCAATACGTTGGCGAGAAAAAAACAAGCGGCTTGCAATTGTCTCGTTTACATTGTTGTTTGGACTGTTTGCAGTTAAGTTAAAAAATTAGATCAAGTAATCCTTAACATTATATAACTGTCCATTAGCTTTTCTTTTTTTTTTTTTCGTATTGATTTATCAGTATTTCTATTATATTATATACTTTTTAGGTTATGTTATGCCAAGTTAAAAATGTTAAATTTTACATTTTTACGCATCTTTTACTTATGGGAAGATTTTGAGTAACTGTCTTCCTAATTCCCTTCCTATTATTGTCTTATAGGCATACAAGATCTTTTAAGAATATCCGCGCATCGATTGCATACTGTGCTTGCCTGTCTTCCAATTGAAATCGGAATCACCAACCCAATCCCCTAATAGCTTCTCCTCCAGTTCAGTCGACTATTCCTAAAATATAATTATGCTCTACCTAAGCTACTCTTACAGCGTAGAATAGAATGTCATTTTTATCCTTTCGCATTTGTTCCAAAGAAGCAACAAGACCGAGCAACATGATAGGCGTAAAAAGATTCGTCTTATGCTGCGTGTAATTTCTGTCTTCGGTATTTATTTTCCGTCACGTTCGCTTTGAAAGAGAAAATTGCAAGTATACGCAAACTGTTGTCTTTCGCAGCCCGCTTCCCCCTTTGACTTCCAGTAGGTCCGGCTCATATTGTTACATAAACGGTTTTGTTTTGCTTTACGTTGGGATATTTGTATATACACACCGGCATGCATATGCAAGCTAAACATTGATTTGCCGGCCAAAAAAAAAAAAAAAACATTAACAAAAATCTGTTTTTGTTCTCTACATACTTAATCTATATAGTTAAGTTACGGCAGTGCGATCTGAATGACAAGCACTTTGTCGCAACATTCAATCAATTAGAAGCTAAAAAAATTTTCCTTCTATGCATATTCCTTAAAATGTAATTTTCCTTTAAGCATTAGCCAGGTTAATGGCCCTGTTTTAATACAATTTTCCATCGACAAATAAAATTTAGCTTCAATAGAATTAGTTGAAACAAAACAAGGGGAAAAGTTATATTCGGCGTGGGATTTTAATGTCCAAAAATTCGGTTTTTTCTAAACGTCCACCATAATTAAATTGCAGCTAACACACTTTATCGCAATCAACTCTACAACTCCTTTCATTTGATCGAAGGTATTATCCTACCTATATCGAAGGTACTTTTAAGAAAACATTTAACCCTTAAGGTGTGGCACACAATCACAATTAATTTAGAGTTAACACACTTAGCTTCTCACATTCTATTCTCCAAGTCCATTTATGTGATACTCGTATCAGCGGTATTGTAACGAAAAAATTAGGTCACCATGTCGTGACGACCGAGATATTTAAATTGGTTCTAACACACTTAGCTTCTCGCATTTACTCTCCAAGTCCTTTTATTTGATACCCATATCGCTGGTATTATTAAGAAAAAATTAATCCACCAGGTCGCGATGTCTACCATATTCATTCTAGAATTAATCCATTTTTAGACAGATAATATATCTTCAAAATAGTTTTAAACGATTTGTCATGTTCGTGTTATGACAATAAAAAAGCATGAAACTTCAAAAAAGTGAAAAGAATTAAACTTAATTACTCGTAACTTTGTGTGGACACGGCCGATTGGTTCCATTTTCGTAGGTGAAGGTTAGAGTGCCTCCGAAAGTAAATGCGGAAAATTTCAGCTTTCTAACTTTCATAATGTTTGAGTAACGAGCAAAAACCCACAAATTTGTGTTAAGAAAAACAGAGTTGCGTTCAGTTTATGTTCCACTGCGGGCTTCTGCTCTGACCAATTTAGGCAATTTTCAATTTCAAACTGCGTACAAGAACTTCCCATTTTAATGGAAGTTAAAATTACGAATTAATTCGTATTGGAACTGATAATCCTGTTATCACAGATTCTGACATAATGAGATATAATTATGCAAGAAGTTTTTTGTGAATTGTATGTAATTTTCAAATTTGCTCGGAATGAAAAGCAATTAAGCGGAAATCTGACGTCCAAGGAAAAGCTAAAATGATTACAGTCAACAAGTGAATGAAAGAGTGATACGATGAAGAAATTGACTACCTTCTCCCTACACCTATGTAAACAAAATACTTTCGAAGTAAGAACATTATAGTCGGGTAAGGCCAATTATTGCATACTCTACACCACATTGTCTAACACAATTCTTATCACCAACATTTTCAACAACACACATTACAACATAAATTTTTCTTCTTTGTCTATCTATCTAGGATTAATTTTCGTGATAATCGTTATTGGGATACGCTCCAAAAAATAGGCCGAGATGGTCCAAATTTGGTACAGTTAATTTATTTATATTAAATTACTATTATGATATAAATTTCATCATGAAGCATCGAAAATTATACCTTTTTATCTTATGAACGTTAGTTTTCGTGATAAGAGAGGGGGCTCAAAAATTGCCCCAGCCGGTCCAAAGTTTTCATACCAATTTAGAATGCTCAAAAACTACTACTTAGTCAGGTTTACTAAGAAAATATGAAAATTAGGATTTTTTCCCATATAACGACTTTTCAGAATAGGGCGTTATATGGGGACTCCCAGGACGAACGCTATTGAAAATAGTTCGGATCGATCTACTTGTTCCACCTATTCTGAAAAGTCGTTACATGGGGAGTGGTCGAACAAGTAGACCGATCCGAACTATTTACAACAGTGTTCGTCCTGAGATCAAAACATGTCATCGCAAAATATTTCAACAAAATATCTCAAAAATTGCGACCTTTACCTAGAAAATGAATTAACAAAGACAGAGAGACAGACTTAAATCAGATTATGATTCTGAATCGATCGGTATAATAAAAGATGGGTCTATGTTAAGCCCATCTGTGTGTTACACGCATTAACTTAACTACATCACTCGTGGTGCAGGGTATAACGATAAACAAAAATTTCAAAACTGTGTACAAAGGTGCAGACGTTCACTATACGCATGCCTTAAGCGAAATGACAAAATGTGCAATGATCCAACGTGGGAATGATCAGTGCAATCTATTCGTATTATTCTCCTTCCTTTATTTTCTAATATCGCAAACATTTTCTTCTTATATCGAAAATTAATATTTTTTCATTTCTCTTAATTGCCTGAAGATAAGCTAAACTGTAATGACTTTATGGCCTCCGTAAGGAAGGAAAACGTTAACACATCCTAAAAAAAATCACACCATATGTATGCAATAATATAAATTTCGCGCTTATTGATAAATGAAATCATGTGAAATTATATGTATAGTGTTCATCCGAACACATTAACGAAAATAAACGCTACACTCACATAAACCACTGATTACAAAAGCACAAGACAAATGTGAATACAATTTATTTCGAATATTTATGTATATATAGGACAGGGAGGGGATTTATGGTTTATGATAGATGGGATAACAATGCAACGAAAGAATTTTTTTTTCTATTAGAATTGAAAAATATTTCGTTAAATGTGGGCGTGTTATTAATTCACTCAGGATTACTTTTGCAGGTAGCCGTAGTAATTATTTATACTCGATCAATATATTAGTTGCAGGCGGATCAGTTCATTTTTCGAACTTGACTTGGCTTTCAACTCTTCAACGCATAAGTCAGAGACATGTACGATGCATATTTCTCGCAAAGTATATGCATTCTTGCAGTGTAGTAGGATCTGTTTAATTTTCCCCTTGTCCTTGGGTTCGCTTCTTTTCTCTTCAATAATATAGATTTTCGCCTGAATTGCTTGATATTGAAGACTGTTCTTCCAAACTTGTTCCAAAATATTCTTCCAATGTTTTTTTGAGAATTGATCGCAGAGATACCTGGATTCTCAACGTTGCGTATAGTATATTCATTCGAATGATTACGATCGAGGAAAGTATAGCTCACTCCTTACATTTCTGCACCTTATCGATATGGGAAGACTGTAGAAGGCATAGGCCGATTTGAATTTCTATATGTATAATGTATTTTGAAAGATAATAAATTATCCTCTTTTTTATCGGAAATCGGTGCCGGTGCACATAAGAATATTTGCTAATACCGAACACAAAGAAAAAAGTAGAAAAATATTACAGAAGAACTGAGACAGGCGAAAAAGAGGAAGCTGCAACGCATGCGTGAAGAAACGCTGTATATTTGCCGATCCCCGTCTTTGTCAGCATCCTTGCATCCACAAAAATTAAAAATGAAATTTGATAAAGAGATTTCTAATTATTACAAATAATGCGCGATCACACTATCCTGTCAACTGGACTTCGTAAACTTTTTATATCGCTCCGCCAAATAGTGTTTATGCCAAAACTACAAACAACGTAGATTATAGTGTCACGATTATTCTGGATATATTGAAGTCGTCGTTATTTCGTTAAAGCGCTAAACTCTGTCCTGAGATTATGTCATCAGATTATAAGTATCTTCCTGCTCGTCTTTCAATACGTGGCCCGTTTCCGAGGTGCTTGCGACGTCAGTAAGAAACAAACTTAATATACATATTCTTAGCTTATTGATCACAGATCAAATTAGAAAACAGCTTTATCAGGATTAGTTATGCATGAGCGGTCTCTCTATATAATGATAC